GTCACTATCTGGTGCTGGGAATGGCAAAGTTACTGTAATTTAGTGTAATGTTGACTTCTCTGTAACCAGTAACTCGTCCTTTTCCTTTCTGTACTGGTCAGTCAATGTGATTAAAAGATTTGCATACATGATGTATTCTTCTTTCCTATCAAACATCTATCGTCTTTATCTCCCTTCCTTCTTTTTTATGTTTGTTACTCTCTTGTAACACCTCTAATCTTCGGCACTTATATGACCTGATTGTGTTGCAAGTGCCGTAATACACTTACTAAAACTAAAACCTTTTCCTTTCTGTACTGGTCAGTCAGTGTGATTAAAAGATTTGCATACATGATGATGTAGGCCCTATTTATTCCTCCGGCAATGCCTCAAGCTGACACTCGCTACATGTGGTGTTTTGTCAGGTCTTGTGTGTGTGTGTGTACAGATCTGTGAGTGGGGTCCTCCCCTCCATGCATGTGATCATGTGATGACTTCTGTGGCATGTACTCAATGACCTTTGCTCAGTACTGCCCGCAGTACCCATGTTCACTAAAAAGAAAGTCTCTGATGGATACAGTGTGTAGGCCTACTTCTGTTTAGTCACTCTTAATCTTATTTAAATCTGTGAGAAAAAAGATGTATAGAGTTTTTGATTTGTATAGTTGACTCAGCTTGTTGTGTTGGAATTGGCTTGAGTTGATTTTCGGTTATAAAGTTGATGATCTTTTTCCCGGGACCCAGCTCTTCTTCTTTACAGTTCCCAACTGTATAAGTTGAACTCCGGATGAGTTGAACTTTTTTCACTCCCCCCCAATGACTTCAACTCATCCGTTGTCGACTGTAATTAATTAAATCTGTAAGAAAAAAAGAGATGCATCTTATAGTTATAGAGTTTTTGGTTTGCAGTTTTTGTGAACGGTAGGTCTGATGTGTCAATAGGTTGGTTATATAATATCTAGCTGTGGATCAAAGCTTCCCTTATGGGGAAATATTAACAGATTTTGCCAAAGAGTCATTTCTCATTTTCATCTCTTTAATTAATCATTTTTTGTCGTTTTTGTACTAACGAGAGACTTAAGCAAGCATCTGGTGATTTAGGTACGGTCCGAGGGTATCTACAGGAAGCACAGACGCAAAACCATTGTGAATATGTCAGACCTGCTGTTCCACATATCTACCACTGTGAAATTATTTGTGAGGCATCGTGGTGAAATCAGGCGCTCGTCAAAATACTGAAATGGAAGAAACAGGCCTTTTTCTGCTGGTTTGGCCTTTTTTATCCAATTTTTGTTTTTTTACTTAACAACTTCTATGTCTATTAAAGAACACATTTCTGTTTGGAATTTATTGAAAAACATTGATTAAAGGCACAAAAAATGTAAATTATTAGTTTCCACAGACTCTCAAACTAAGGAAATAACAAAACTTTGGTGGTCATTTTCTCGCAAATTTTACCCCTGAAACCAGGTGACCATCACCTCCTTCAATTGCCAATATCTTGACTTGTATCCAAGATAAATGGATATTTTTTTCATCAAGAACAAGACAAATAAACAAGCTTTAAGATGATACCAACAACTCCACATGCCCAAAAATCGACGAGCGCCTGATTCCACCGCGTCGTGACACATTTGTACATGTACATGAAAATGAAATCATTACATTTGCTCATCAGGTATATCTTTCGTATCACGCGCATACCTCTGTACGGATATAAAAAAACAACTGTGTGTGTGTCTGTGTTAGTAGTGATTGATGAAAGCTCCTGTAAGTTGGTGCGGCACTCCAACATGGTGCACATATTATATTTCCCATTCATTGCTCCTGCATGTAATTTGTCCAAGTCTTTTTAAATGTGGTTGGATTGGTTGTCTGCTCACTGAAGAAAAATAAATAAGTAAATTAAACTTAATGCATGCATGATATATAAATACAATCGTTCTTTTGTTTGTTTTTTGCTTGAATGTTGTGAATGGATGAGAAAACTTGAGTGGTTGACGGGTGCTCTGATGAAGACTGATGTGGTTTGCTCCTTTTTTCCTGTAAAAAGTCTGTCGTCTTTATCCCTCCCCGTGGGTGGTTGGCAGGTGCTCTGGTATGGTTTGCTACTTATTTCCTATCAAACATCTACCGTCCTGGTCTCTCATCCTTCTTTTTTTGTGTTTCTTACTCTCTTGTAACACCTCTAACATCTTCGGCAATTGTGTTGCAAGTGCCGTAAAACTCTTACTAAAACAAAAAACTTATCTCTCCTCTTTTTATGTTTTTTGTATGTTACTATAATTTTGTAACTCCTAAATCTTCGGCACATATATACCATGACCTAATTGTGTTGCAAGTGCCATAAAACTTTTATTAAAAACTAAAAAAAACAGGATGAGAAAGGCTGACCACAGTGGTGCTAATGTTGGAGGAATGTGGTCACAACAGAGAAGCAGTTCGCCTAGTACAGGTTGAGTCCAGTATATAAATTCAAATCTGACTTGGACTTTTATTTTCCATTTGGGAATTTTTTTTTTCTTTCTCGCCTGATGTCTGAATGGGGAGATGAGCCCCATCAGGAGCACACAGACATTGTGTCTGGTATCAAGGAGGGTGCTTAAATTAGTTTCAGTAAGGTTTTACGGCGCTCGCAACTGCTGCATAAGGTCATATGAGCGCCAAGGGGTGGATGTCAACAGAGAAGTTCAAATGGGGAATCAGGCTTACTATGCTCACCTCTCAAGCCTCAACAGCACGAAGTCTGCTTCAACTATCAAGGCACCCGGGAAATATCAGTTCACAAGCGAGTTACAAGCGTACAGAAGTAGATGAAAAATAACGATAGAAAGGATGAGGAAAGAAAAAGCAGCAGTTCCCCCTATGTTGTTTCGGCACAGTATGAGCATGATATTGATAAATCTGCCCATTTACAATTCTACCGTGCATAAGATTAATAAGAACATTATCCCCCCCTTTGGCTGTCCCTGTGGTTTCATGCAAAAAAAAAAAAATAAAAATATTATACAAACTGAGCCCAAAGATCTGAAATTATGCGATTGTGTTAATTTTAACAAAGAATAATGAAGGAAAATAATCTGAAATTATGCAAAAGATTATCAAATTTTGCTAAATTACGCAGGGGGCATAAAACCACGAGGACAGCTTTGGGAATGGCCTATAGACGACTTAAGTCAGGGATGCTGTGGCAGGTGCTCCGCCTTCAGTTAGTGCACACATGATCTAAATATATAGCACAAGCACCTACAGCTTGTTCACTTTTGTCAGACCGCGGTTAAAACAATAGTAAAATAATATCCCACATCCCACCACGTTTTGCTCACCGTGGGTCAAACTCAAACAACATGTCATGTTAGTCTCCCGTTTGTCGTCAGTCACACTCCCACGACTATTCTGTAGTGAAAGGTTTGGTCTTCTGAATTAAGAAATAAAGGCAAAACTCAGCCGTTTTTTTAATGTTCTCCATGAGGACAGTATTTATTTTAGTCCACAGAGTACAATAGTGCATGTTAAAAACATTCTAAGAAAATGAGGGGGGGTTTCAGGGTCTTTTTTCTCAACAAACAGCCTGCCTGCAGTGGCTGACAACTTTAGAAAGGAGAGGCTGCATTTCCACAAATTGAGGAAAACAAGTAGGAACTTCAAACATAAATTTAAGTTTGCATCTTAGCCCACGTAAAATTATTTTGGAACCCACTACTGGATAATTGCCTGTCAACTGAGAAACCCTGATTTAGACGAAAATTTCCCATCCTTTACCTGTACTTTTGTTAGCACCCGTACACTGCAGGTGGTGCACACAATGTCATAAAAATAAAAATACACAAATGTGTTATGACGTGGTGGAATCAGGCGCTCGTCAATTTTCGGGCATGTGGAGTTATTGGTATCACCAGAAAGAGTATTCATTTGCCTTGCGTTCAAGGGAAAAAAGTACCCATCTAGCTTGAATAGAAGTCGATCTATTTGCGATTGAAGAAGGTGGGGTAGCTTGGTTTTAGTGGTAAAATTAATGAGAAAATGCCCGCAAAAGTTTGGTAACTTCAATAGTTTAAGAGTCTTTGAACACTGAAAATTGCATATTTTGTGCCTTTAAACAAGGTTTTTCAGTAAAAATCACATGCCAATGTGTTTTCATATGAACATAAAGGGTATTTAGCCAAAAAAGCAAAATTTCGCTAACAATTGCCATACTGGTGGAAAAATGACTTTTTCTTCGATTTCATTATTTTAACGAGCGCCTGATTTCAACATGATGCCTCACAAATGTTTAAAAAAATAACCAAGGACATGGATTTAGTCAAAGTCAGCTCCACAGTACGGTCTCACCTTTAGAGATAAATAAACGTGTCCAACGTATATATATATATATATTTTCAACAAAAATTACAGAGAAATAAAGACAGTCATGACTGAACAATATATATATAAAAAATCCAACTCTCACAAGCCGACTGACGCACACACATGCATACACTTAGACTTAGACCTACGTCATGCAGCCAAGCATAATGAAACATAAGTAGGTAAGTTGAACAGTCAGGGTCTCTCCGATGAATTATTGTATCATTAGCTAGAACTAGAGTAAACCTGACTAAAAAATAGGTCTTTCAGAAGGTAGGCAGTCAAAATGACAGAACCAAGATGGATGGAGCAGATTCTGCAACCGTCATTTCTCCCACCGAGTTGTTGGGCCTGCAAAGTGAACAGTCAGTTTTTGCTTGTACTTCAGACTATAAATCCTTCCTTACTTTTGAAAGGAAATTAAATAATTTTTTCAGAACCGTAACTGTTGTTTCGGGTTGTTTCAATGAAACCAAACGATTTCCGGAAACTGAAGTTTCATTTTGCCAGACAGCATGAGGAACACTCCTACACTCCTCTTACAACTCGCTGCCGTAGAATTACAAAATTGTATCTCACATTTTTGGCCGTTTTGAGTTACTAAAACCATGAGGTCAAAAACCAAATGTTCTGTCCGCTCTATCAAAATCGTAAGATAATTCATAGTCATTATCAAGACATTCAAGGAATTGCATTCGAAAAAGCTTGACATGATGTAAAACCCAAAATCTTTTACGTCAAATTTCTCAAAACTAAGTACTGAGAAGATAGAACTTTGTAATTCTAGGGTAACGAAATAGAGGAAACATTTCCCTTTCTTACACAGACACACTTCACACATACAGGAATATAAAGTTGTAACAACACATCGGTCCAAGCCTGAATCACTTTCTCCGTCAAAATGTCCAAGTACCGCTAGCTCAAGAGTGGCCACACGATATGTCCTACAGGAAATGTTCACCGTAATTCACAGAAAATTTCAGTTCTCTCAAAATACTGTGGACCTTTCAGTACGGAGATACTCATTCTGAAAAAACAGGGTTCTGATATATATATACACAGTCTATTATATATAATATTACATTATGTATCTTCACAGAACGTTCTCTCAGCAAGACGGACATCTCTGAAGTGTAAGCACAAGTAATTCCATCACAAAAGCGAACTTGACACTACTAGGAAGTTTTCAAAGTCCAGTGGTTCCCATGAGATTCTGGCATCTGGTTCAAACTCACAGTACTCCACATGAAAGTGAAAGTGAACCTTGATTGTCACAAAGTCTGCGACATTCACTTCCATGTCATCCAGCAAAAGAAAGCATCGCACCAGCACAGGCCTCCTCTTCTCCGGTCACAGACAACTCCTCACAGAGACGAGACCGTTTGACCTATTGACCTTTTATCTGAGGTCTGTTCAACCACTATCACTGTCACATCAGACGTGGTGATTCACAGAATTAATCCAACCAATATCAAATTGGCGAAAACAGGAAACTGACGATAACGAATTTCCTGGAAGTGAGATCCAGACCAGATGGTTCACTGCAGTGAGGCGTCTTGGTCCTGCTCCACGATAATCCTCAGCCGAATAACACCAGACCTGCGGCAAGGAGGAAAAGAACAGGAAGATAAAAATAGGCGATAGTCTAGTCAAGTAAGGTCAATTGAAAAAGACACACTTGCTCTATAACTATTATTTTATCCTTAGTTTATGATATAATGTACTACGTGAGAGGGGACAAAAAAACAACAAACAAGTACATATTATTATTATAAAACTGTTTAAACTTTGGTGGGGCTAACCAAAATTTTTAATCTTCTGGCAAATTTAACAGAAGATGCTTCGTTATAAATTTCTAAAATATTGAACAAAAGGTAGATCCAACACAATTTGTTAACCTTAGTTTGAGAGTCCGTGGAAACAGAAAATTAAAATTTTTTGTGCCTTTAACCAAGGTTTTACAGTAAAAATCCACACAAAAATGAGTTCATAAATGGACATAAAAGACGTTGAGCCAAAAAGTTTGGGGAAAAAAACCCAAGGATTTGATGCAAATTGCCAAAACCTACAGAAAATTGCCAGTTTCTACAATTTCATTACAATGGAAACCTAATATAACAGGGACGGTGGGACCAGAGAAAAAGTCCTGTTATATCAGATCCCTGTTAAATCAGAAAGGCAAGGGAAGTAAGTATTTGTGCACTAATCCAGCTGTATATATTCATGGGTAGATTCCCTTGCCACAAATACCCTGCGCATGACACATTGCGGGTGCGTATAGCAAGGCTTTGTGCTAGATCGAAGTCTGCAGCTCACCGCAGCCCTCTTTCGCTTCACCCGCTGCGTCTGCTTGCAAAGGCGTGGCTTGCTCCATCATTGCGTTTCTCTCTCTCTCTCTCACTTTTTAAACATCATTGTTAACGAGCCTTAGTCCCTGCTTTAACCGATTGGGCTCCCATGAGGCCCTGTTATTGCTTATAACTTTTAATAGAGACAAAGAGTGGGGAAAAAGTGGGGATTTAAAATATCCCTGTTATTACCAGATCCCTAGGTGTTATTACTGGGCCTGTTATTTATGGTTTCCACGGTATTTTGACGAGCACCTGATTTCACCACGCCACATCACATTTTATAACTATTACTTATAATTAATAACTTTCACAAAAGGCAGAAAAAAAAAAGCCTGAAGGTAAAGACAGGTTTAAAAATATTTGTCTTCTTCACGTTGACGATGCAAGCAATTAATTATCTATTTCCCATTTCAGACTGATAGACCTATGGCTCATATGAAAAAGTATTTCTTTTTTCTTAAGCGTTTTAATACCTCAGTGTAATCATCTAAATTTGAAATTGCCACAATCAATGCTGGTTATGTGTTGAAGATGAAGAACAAAAAGAGTGAAGAAGACACCACCAAAAGAAAGAAAAAGGGATATCCCCTCTCTTCCAAAGACAAAACAAACCAACAACAACAAAAATTTACTTCATCAAAACAAAACAGCCCATCCCTCAAAAAACAACAAAACGAACAAAACCTGTCCCCGTGGTTTTATGCACAAAAAAATTATGAAATTATGCAAACTGAGCCCAAAAATGTGAAATTATGCAATTCTGTCAATTTTAACAAAGAATGATGAAGGAAAATAATCAGAAATTAGGCAAAAAATGATCAAATTTTGCTAAATTATGCGGGGTGCATAAAATCATGGGGACAGCAAAACACACACACAGAACAAATCAACCCAATAAAAACAACCCCCCAACACTGCAGATGGCTGTGATAGGTCAATCAATATCAAAGACAGAAAGGACGACTACAACTGTCGTGCCGTGCAGCACAGACACGGACCCACCTCTGCAGGAAGATCCAGACGACAGCACAGGCCAGCTCTTTGAGCAGCACCACGGTGAGATAGATGACCAGCAGCTGGCAGCTGTAGTAGATGATGAATCGCAGGCTCTCCAACAGCGCCTCCACCTGCACCTCCGACACGGGGCGCTTGTCCTCTCCCAGTCTGTGGACACGAGGACACAACTGCCGTCAGCTGACAAATCGCATTTTTTTGAAAAGTTGCGCAAGTCTTCAAGTTTTTAACTTTATTTTAACAGGAAAAGACTCAGGACTATATACTGTTGTGTCTCGACGCGGTGAAATCAGGCGATCGTCAATTTTTGGGCATGTGGAGTTATTGGTATCATATGAAAGCTTCCTTATTCATTTTTATTTTGCTTTCAATGTAAAAAAAATATTCCACTATCTTGAATAGAACTAAAGATATCTGTCATTGATGGAGGAGAGGTTGCCTGGTTTCAGAAGTGAAATTAGCGAAAAAAATGGCCGCCAATGTTTGGAACCTCCAATTAGCTAAATAGTCCTTGACAACAAAAAAAAAACAAAAACATATTTCGTGCCTTGAATCCCCTTTTTTCAGTAAAATTCACAAGGAAATATGTTTTTGTATGGACATAAAATTCGTTGAGCCACAAAACAAAATTTTGATTGATAAGAATTGCCTAACTGGAGGAAAAATGCCTGTTTCTCCGATTTTTTTATTTTGACGAGCGCCTAACATTTTTTCATTTTAGCGTCAATTTTTTTATTTGCTTAATAAAAAGCCAGATCAGTTACCCTACTCGTCTGGGAAAAATCAAGGTGAAACTGACAAGTTTTTGAACAAATTAGAATTCAAATTTCGGAAGAAAACTATTTTTAAATGGTTACGTTGACAAAAAAAAACCCTCTTTATCTTGAAACTGCAGTGAAAAAAAGAAAGGCCTTCCTACAAGGGAATCAAACTCAGGTTTTCTGTATGCCACGTAAAAAACACCTAACCACTACACCGCAGATATGCCAGTGAGCTTGTTTGTATCTACAAAAATAAAAATACTCAATAAGAACCAACCGTGTAAACAGCCTCGGAACCACGGGGTAGAATTTACACGCGTGCGACACGGCATCCATCTTCTTCCACGAGTGGTCGCTGTCCTTTCCTTTGTGCGTCTGATCTGAGCAATTTCCTGCCAGCCCAATAGCTTTCAGGTGTTGGCAGTACATGTCCATGCTCAGTTTCTGCGGAAATAGAAGACAGCAACAGTCACTCATGGTGTGGTGGATTGTTGGTCAACAGTGAACTTAGACACAACTTATCAGTCAGAACAGGTGGTTGTTTTTTTTTTCTTTCAAGAGTCCATACGATTGCCACGACTAAGCAAAAAATTGAGAGAAGTTAAAACATAATGCCCCCCACCGCGTACTCAGAGTCCGTGTACTTAATCAGGAATAAGACCGATATAAATATAATTTATTATTATTATTTACTCTAATTAAGTTTCTTACACAAAGTGGGCTTTTTTCCTTTATCATGCATGAACCAAAAATCCCAGATGGTACTATTGTATGAGAACCTCCTGGCCAACCAAAAAGCTTTCAAGAAAGATTTGAGATGTCAAAGTTTACCTGTAGCCCCAACAGGTGTTTGTGGTAAAGGTCAAGGATGGTCCAGTGGCGTGCGGCGTGGCCGCTCACCGTCGCTTGGAATGCTGGGAAGTCCACTGTGTTGATGTAGTCTGCATGAGTCTGGATGCGGGCGTTGGTCATCAGGGCCTGTAGGTCTACGTACTCGTCCTAGAAATCGAGAGGGGAGGAAAGGAAAAAAATCTTAGCCGGCAATAATAAATAACAATGATCAATGTGCATTACACTCATAACATAAAGAAATCACATTCTAAAAATGATGTTGGGAAGTGGGGATAACGCGAATCTCCCCATGTCGTCCGATTGACAGGTGAGGAGTGAGATCAGAGTGGGAAAAAAAACCCAACTAGATCATGCACAGCACTGTGATAAAACAAAACAACAACAGCTACAACACTCACTGTGGTAAAACAACTACTACAACAACAACACTCACAGCACTGTGGTAAAATAACAACTACTAAACCACTCACGGGACTGTTTTTTAGTTTTAGGAAGAGTTTTACGGCACTTGCAACACAATAAGGTCATATAAGTGCCAAAGATTAGAGGTATTACAAGAGAGTAACATTAGAAGTGTTACAAGAGAGTAACAAACACAAAAAAGAAGGACAGATAAGGACGATAGATGTTTGATAGGAAAGAAGGAGCAAACCACACCAGAGCACCCACAAACCACCCACTCACAGCACTGTGGTACAACAACAACTACTACCGGGTACTAAACAACTCACTGCACTGTGGTAAAAGCCGACCCGGCCCAACTCCTTCACTGTGAGGTAACGATTTCCAAGCTGCAGCAGACAGACGGAGACCACACACGCAGCCACCGCAAACACCATCTTGGGGAAAAGTGTGGCCGAGATGGTCTGAAACAAGAAACCAAAATATTTTATTTTTTGTTTGGAGAAGAGTAAGAGGAATAAAATATAAAATCCTCAAATCAGACTCTGGGGGAAAATCCCCCCCCCCCCCACAAAACAAAACAAAAAAGAAGACTTCCAAACAAAGATGGGAATTGGAGAAACATGCCAATCTGCTGGGACAGATAAGCAGAAAACAATATTCAAACAGCAGTTATAAAACATGCTTCTCAAGATAGACCAGAAAGGAATGGGTCCCAAAATTTAGTATGCTGTAATTTTTAATAGAAAATCAGCTGACGTTTCTTTGCCAGAAAAAATGAATGGTTATCAAAGATTAGAATGTAAATTTTATAAATCAAGATCCTTCACTCAACAAGTGCTGTAGAGCAGCACCGTTCAAATCTAAAAAGAGAAACTTGTTTAACCTTATCTGGCGCGAAATAATTTTTCGTATCCCACATAAGTGAAAGTTTAACTTTTAAGTTAGACAAAGGCTATTGAAGTCCTTGGATGAAGAAAAAAGTGCCAGCCACCACAACCTTTTCAAATGACATCTGCAGCATACATGATACAAACAAACTTCAGAAACAAATGAGGAACAAACCTGCATGACAAAGGTTTTGATCGCTTGGAAGTTTGGATTTTCCCTCCAACTCGGCCCCGCCCCCAACCTTGTCTTCGATTCTTTCGACTCAAACACAGCATCATCTGCCATATCCTCCTCTGAAAACCACAAGAAAGAACACAGCTGATGTACAGAGGAGCAGAGAGAAAATTACAAAAGATTTCTTTTTAAAATGAGGCTGTCTTCACACCCCCATGGATATAATTCAGATTATTTAGGAGGTGGGCTACTGACCCTGCTTTTCAAGGCCAATCTGGCTTGAGAGTGATACAACATCCCAGCAGAAAGATCATGAAACTTGATAAAAAAGTCTTTCTACTCAGAAATTGAACTCTGGTTTCCTGTGTGCCTCAGCAGAGTGTTGATGATATCAGCAATTACAATCATGGCTTTTGAGAAAGAGATCGACATAATATATATATGTACTGATGTTGATGACGACAAAATTATTATGAATAGAAACTCAAGGAAGATAGATGCATGTCTAGTAGCTGAGAGCAATGATGGCTTTAAATATGATATGGGTAGTTAGGGGGGGGGGGGGGGGGGG